GCGCTTTATTTCATTTCATGTTCTAGAAAAATATTTGCGGTCGGTTATCAATCAATATGTGCATATGCCATATGGAGGGTCATACTACTCTTTAGGAGATTTTAAAATTGACAATGATGGAGCCGCATCCTTCCTTGAGAACAAGTTTATCCAAGAAGGTATATGATTGTTTTTATGTTTGTTTCAAGTGGCTTTAGGAGGTTTTTGTTCCATTGATTTGTTTTCTTTGTTTTGGGTAGCTTCGGGAGAAGATGTCCAAGCCCCTATAAGGGTTGCATTAAATATAGTCGACCTTTTTTGGCATGTTGCACCTGGCAAGCAAGATCCCCCCATTGAAGTCACAAACTTTAGGGAGCTTTGTTCTCTTGCCCTAAAGAAGACTGGCGAGATGTCTATCCGGTATTTTTCTTGACCAGCTACAAGGAGTTACAAGCCACACTCTAAAGATCAATCTTTACCTGTCCTATCTTTAGTCCATAGAAAACCATGAAAATTGCTTAGTTGTAGTTTTTTCATTTTAGCTCAAGCATTTTACATTTTTGGTTGGCATGGAATCTCTTCTTCTTTAGTGATAGAATTTGTGATATAAGATTTTCAATTTCTCTCTTTTTGTAGGAAGCTGTGTTATTACATTTTCAAAAATCTGATCGTGTTTGATCGAGGGGATGAATTATGCTTTCTACTGAAGATGTGGAATTTGTACATGATGGACGAGGGTAATGCTAAGGCATCAAAACAACATTTTGGTGATTTTACAAAAGCTACCGAACTTTCAGACTACATAATGAGGATTGAGCCCGAGGACCAAGAATTGGTTTGCTTAAGGAGATTTGATGCTCCCGGAAGGAGTGGAAAGGATTTTCTAAATATACCAATCAATGAGAGGTATGAGAAGGCAGACTCAGTTTAGGGTTTAGGGTTTAGGGTTTAGGCTTTAGGGTTTTGGGTTTAGGGTTTAGGGTTTAGGGTTTAGGGTTTAGGGTTCAGGGTTCAGGGTTCAGGGTTCAGGGTTCAAAGATATTAATAACATTAATCGTTAGACTTAAATTTTTGTGTCAAATATTTTCAAATTTATATAGAAATAGTATAATAATAGGGAATACCATTGTATAACGTAGGTTTCACCATTTGCATCACCAGAATTGAAGGTTATGATTCCGCTTCGTTGAAATCATCGATCACCAAATCAATATGAAATGCCTACAATGTACAATTTAACCGAATTCTCCTACACATTAAAATTTAAAAATAAAACATTAATGATTCACAAAGTAAAATTATTAATACATCAGAATGATACTTTATGATTATATCTAATAAAATTTATATATAATTTATTCTTAGGAAAAAAGTCATGAATATTTGAATAAAATTTCTCACTTACTTGCGGTCCTCCAATGTAACTTTCATCATTTGCTCAGGTGCCTATTTTACCGTACGGGTTTCGGGTGGGTTTCGACTAACAACCTTCCTTATTACGTCTGCAAGTACTGAAATATAAGACAAATGTATTAAATATACATTTTAAATATGTGTAAGTAATTTAATTATAATAATCTAAATGATGATTAGCAATTAAAAGCACTCTGTCACCAAGAGTTATTTTTTGAATTTCTCCAAATCCCATAAAGTTGTAAAGAAAATTAGGAAATCTATTTTCTGAAATTTTTTGAAGCTTCGTCTTGCTAAAGAATTATAGCATGAAAGAGCAATTGGTAGTTTTCCTTGTTTGATAATTGTGTAGTACTTTGACTATAATCAGTAAATAAACAGTATCTTCTTTCAAATCATCCTTGAAACAATGTATATTTGAATCTCTGATCTATGCATGTGTTCGATCAACCTAATAATTCAAAGGAAAGAGTATATATTATCATCATTAAAACGTTGTTAATGTGTACGTATTTTAGATTCATATTAACGAAAAACTACCCTCTGAATCATGAAAAATTACATCCAATGATTCGGAGCCCTTAGAATAGGCGAGAACATGATAAACTCTTATCGCTCTCAGTTTTATCATCAAAATTGACGACCTCTCATCAATATTTTTTACAACGACGTAGTTGAAAACGTACTTCAAAGAGGCTAATTACAAAAGTTATTATGAATGACCGTATTTATAGTATGAAAATTTTTGTTTCTTATTCCATTTTTGTGTTTCCTAATTTTTAATTTTCATAATTCATAAGTTTCAGAACAATCACAGCCCCTTAATAAATAGAAACTTTTTATTAAAAAAATAATTTGACATTTTTACCTTTTGGAAGCAAATTCATATTCATAATTATGGCCTAGCATTACTATTAATATAATCCATACACACAACATTACACACTTACCAAGTAAATTCAAAGTACTCGCGTTTGCATACTTAATATAAATGGAAACATAATTAAAATGGAAGCATAATATTATTTTATTATTATTAAGTCAAATAAGGTATTAATTTTATTATTAACTTACTATTATTAAAAAATTAAAAATTAAAGATTCACATGTTACCTTTTTTATTATACACGGTACAATTAATAATTACTATGTTTATTATTATTATTATTACACAATACCATTTTTTTACCATGCACGCACAGCCAAAGTCAGGTATGCTAAATTGCACGGTATGATGTACATGCTAAATTATCTTTGTTTCCTTTTATGTTACCCACGGTCAAAGAGGCATTTAAAACAATTTAGCACACTAACCATTTAACTTGAACATGAAACTTATATTTTGTTACTGACAAATTATTACATGCACCCAAGGTTCATGACGGACATTCATATATGCTAAATAAACATTTTTAAGTGTTGAAATAATCATTTTTAAAATAAAAAGGAAATATGTGAAAATGTCTATGTCAACTTTAGGTTCACCATGGAATTACTCTTTGTTACTTCATCTATTTTTTACAAATATTTTAATCTTTTTTTCATAAATAAAAAGGGTAATTTGAATTCCAAATTAGAGCCCACTTAGATGGCCCAAGAATGGAAAAAACCTAGACAGGTCTCTTCTTAGACTCTTATCCCCGCCCTTCGTCTTCTTCTTCCATGGCGGCAACGCCGCCTACCACAACGACCGTGACGAAGAGAGTGCCCTGCATTCCTCCCCCATGCGACTCAGCGCCACGCCCGAACATAGGGGAGACAACCACGAAAGGAGATGACAGGGAGTGGAATTTTTGCATCAGCCGGAGAAGATGACTTGCTGGAGTCTGAAAACCCAAACACTACCACTCCCAGCAACAAAACTGGACTCCGAATGTACCAGGTGCTCTGATCTGATGATGAACTATTACAGTTGTTTGGTCTTTTTGTTAATTTAGATATACCCATAGTTGTCTTTCTTTATCGTTGCATTGGTTTAGTAGGAATAGATCTTACAATACTTTTATAATACACCCCTACCTAATCACAACTGAAACGTATGAATATGTCCCACAGCAGGTTGTTTCTGGGGTGAGTCAGATTTCGTTTGGGGAGGAAGAAGCTGTCTCTACGAAGAAACCAACCACACTGCCTGAAGTGGCGAAGCAACGGGAGCTTAGCTGAACCCTTGGCGAATTGAGCGGACCAACCTGCTGGCGACGACCACAAATGTGGCGGAAACCTCCTAGCGCCCCCAACAGTGGAGACGCCCGTTTGGCAGCAACTGTGTCCCCTCACAGAGACTGCGTGATTTACGAGAACAATTGCATCGTCGATGCTCCGGCTAGGGCAGTGAAGGCAGCAGTACCAACACTCCCCCAACCCTTGGCAGTAACGATTGAGTGGAGGTAATTATGGTTTTTTTATAAATAAAATATGGAGTAAAATAATGCTTTGGTTGTATAACAAGGTTTCTAGGGAAACAATAACACCGTGCTACTTTTGAGTGAAGATGGAACATGGGATATGTTAGAATAAAAGACCAACGCTAGAGGGGGGGTGAATAGCGTTTGATCGTAGAAATCGCAGGAATTAAAAATTTAAAAGAGAAGTAAAGAGAAGAGTAAGAGGCACACAGAATTTTACCCTGGTTCACCACAACTTGTGGCTAATCCAGCCTCCCGAGAGACTCTCTCGAGCTACACTACTAACTCGTTAAGCTTACGGGTGCTTAACAAACCGTTACAACTTGAGAGTTCGAGTCACACGAACCTCAACGAATCCTTCAAAGGAAACAGACCTTCCTTTGAATCAACCGAGAGAGATGCTATCTCTCAACGTGTCTAAGAACACAAGTACACTCAAGAACGAGACTCTCTTATAGAGTAGATTATGAGTAAACTAAGTACGCTCAAGAACAACTCAACCTTCACACAAGTGGCTCTAGAAAGCTATGGAAAATTATGATATTTGAATGCAATGAAAGTATAGATGTTGTGAAGTGAATTGGTGAGAAAAGCAGACCCAAACACCCCTTTTTATAGTGCAAAATTAGGCTCCAACGGACCAATGCATTAAAGGAGTGATTAGCTTGATTTATGGGATTGAAAAGATTTGGGATCTGCAGAATATTGGCTTCCCATCGATGTTT